TAAAGAAATCCAGGGATAAATTTGCCTCCACCTTTTGGTTTGGATTCCCTGTTTCAGGAATTTTGGGTTCATCATTTCAGGAATTGTGGGCAGTGCTAAAAAATCTTAGTCTGGAATTTTCCTGGAGTGAGGAAGAAGCACAGGAGGGGTCGTGGAGGTCAGGCCCATCCCTATCCTTGAATTCTATGAGCCAGGCAAAGCTGGTTGGGATCATATTCATGGATAGACAGGGATCCATGGGTGTTGTTTGTGTAAGGAAGGAATTTGGGGATTTTTGGGAATTAACTTTCCCTGTTTAACCAGTGAGCCGTCGCCGAAGCCCCACTTCCCACCTTGAAATTGCCTGCGTTCGGTTCACACCGTGTAGCTTTATTTTCCTATGGGTTTTTGGGATTTGCTTTCCTTGGAATTTTGATGGTGCTGCATAAAGAACCCCCTCCCTTTGTCCTGCCTTTTCGCCCTTTTTCTCCTTTTTCCTCCCTTTTCCCCCCTTTTTTCCCTTTTGTTTTCTTTTCTTTCTTTTTTTTTTTTTTCCCTATTTTTCTCTTTTAAAGAACAGAATATTCCAAAGTTGTGGAAAAATAGGAAAACTCTGTGCTGACTCCTCTGCTGAGAATGTGGGTGGGATATTTGAAATTCCAGTTCTGATTCCATTCGTAATTCCATTTTTAATACCTTGGGAAGGTGCCCATGGAGAGGGCAGGACATATAGAAATTATATTTATGTATATTAAATTATATTTACATAAGATTATATTAATATATAAAATTCTATTTATATAAATTAATATTTTTGATATATATGTATTCTATTTCTATATCTCTCTTCCTCCATGGGTGAGCTGCTCACAGGTATTGGATAAATGGCCTAAAATTCCTATTTATTTCAAGGAGGTTTTCCTTGGGTAATTCCTAATTCCCTACAATTTTTAGGTTAATTTTTCTGCTGAAATGAGGCAGGATTTTAATCTCTCAGGTAAACAAATCCCTATTTTTTTTGATGGATAACCCAGCAGCGGGCAGAGCCCATGCCGGTGGCTGGAAATCTGGGATTCAGAGACGTTCACTCTGCATCTCCTGCAGCCCAGCCTCAGAAAATCTGGGATGCAAAGCCAGGGATTGAGGTGGAATTCAGCTGTTTGATGCTTCCCCCGAATTCCCTGTGCTCTGTCCAGCAGCCCCTGTGTGTCCATTCCCGGGGATCTTGGAAGTTCGTCCCGTGCTCCCTTTGCTCAGGAGCTCATCCCAAATATTCCCCAGCTCATTCCTAGGCTGGTTTTTGGAATTTCCCTTTAATTTGGCATTAAATTCATCTTTAATTTGTGTTTAATTCGCCAGTGATGGGACTCAGTCGGGTTCCATTCCCGGCTGAGCCGTCGGACATCGGAGGGAACGATCCTTAACTATTCAAAATGCCGAAAATACAGGGATAAAATAACAAATACATTTAAGCAAAATCTGTTTGAAGCCATGAAAATTCCAGTGCCTGATAAAAGGCCTGTTTTGGTTGTCCCCAGCCAGGTTTTCCTGCCTGACCAAGCCCTAAATCCCAAATTAAAATATTCTGGTGGAATATTTCTCTTAAAAATTATGTTCAATATGGAATCGAGGGAAATATTGAATTAATAAATTTGAGAGAATTAATTTCCCTTCCTTTTCTCTGCATTTGGAAGAGTGGCCTCATCCCTCTCCTCTTGCTTCCCAGAAAACAGCCAAGGTGCCTTTTCTCCAGGACAGGGATTGGGATGACTTGCATTTATCCTTTGAAAGTTGCTTCGAATTCCTCCTGGGCTGAATCAGTTTTTCCAAGCCCACCATGGTTCCAGTGGCTCTTTGTGGATTTATGGAATGATTTGGACTGGGCTGCTTTTATAAGAAAAGCACCCGGGGAATATTTCGGGAGAAAGGGGTTCCGGGAAGAGAAGGCGGCTTTTTTCCCGGAGGTATTTAGGGAGCAGGGAGTCGCAATTCCGCGTGTGCCAGGCCAGCGGGAGCGGCTCGGAGTTCTCCCTTTGTCTGTGCCGTGATTGGCATTGTGGCCGTTCCCTGAACATCCATCCCCACGTCCCCCCCACGCTCCGGCACTTCCCTGCCTTCCCCAAACCCACCCAAACTTCCTCCCCGTGCCGGCCAACTTCCAGGCAGAGCTTTGTTCCCCGGAGCCTCTGGAGTCTCCGGAGCACCGAGCCGGGAATTCGCAGCACGTTGGCACAGCTAAAAATCCACCCCATCCCTTCTCCCTCTCCCACCCTCACAATTTTTCCCCCGTGGCATGGAGGGGGGGGTGTGTTTTTTTCCCGAATCAGGCCAGCGGGGCCTTTTCTCCAGGAAAACGCGGCCGCTCGGCCGGGAAAAACAGGAGCGCAGAATGCTCCGCTCCTGCCTCTTTTGAGGAGTTGTAGCCATGGGGCTTTGGCACTGCCACCCTTGTCTCTGTGCCAAAAAATATCCGCAGCGCCTGCCGCATTCTAGTACTGGAGGCTTGGCTCGAAAATTCCGCAGTGGATGCGTCGGGAAAGCCACGGCGCTGAACGCGCTCCCTCTGCTTTCCCCCCGAACACTCCCGGAGCTGCCGGGGCACCTGCGCCTTCCGCCTCCCAACCCTTGGAAAATGCCGAGTTCCTGGGAAACTGGGGAAAATCGAGGAGCGGCTTTTCTCAGCCCAGCAGTTGTTGTTTAAAGAGCTGGGTGTTGTCACAGGGCTCGTTGGTGTGTGCCGGGGAAGCGACGGGAGCAGAGGTAATTGGAAATGGATAATTTATAGGGAAGATGTTCCCCCTCAACCCAGCGGGAATGGTTTGATGGTTACGGGTGAGGGAAAAACCCTCAAACTCTCCACAAACTCTCTGCAAAATCTCCATGCAAAATCCACACAGCATCCACACAGAATCCATACAAAATCCACACGGAATCCACACAAAATCCACATGGAACCCACACAGCATCCACACAGAATCCACACAGACTCTCCAGCCGGGGGTTTTTAACGATTCCCAGAGTCCTCCCTTTATTTGGGGTGTGCAGGAGGTGGCTTTTGGGTTGCTCCCGGTAGCCACCTCAAAACTGTCTCCAGAGCTCCGGAGTGCCGGGTTCGGTGGGAAAAGCGGCCGCCGGAGATGAAATCTTTCCCGAGCAGCACAATCCTTAAAAAAAAACCCAGCCAAGTCAATCTCCCGCTGGCTGCGGAGCCGCTTTGGTACCTCGGAGCCTTCGACAGAGCCCTGGCCGGGTGCCCATTGATGTCATGGAAACACTCAAATTACCGGGAATGATTCACGTCTCCGGCGGTCCCTGTTCCTCCCCCACGCGAGCGGCAGCGCGGCCCAGCCCTGACAACTTGTAATTTGCGGGGGGTTTATTTTGGTGCCGGGGTAAATATTTCTGCCCAAACGCAAATTAAGCCGCGCCTGAGACGATGGCAAAGGGGCTGCCCAGGTGCTCCCACTCTCTCCCCTCAGCCCATGCTTCCTTTCGGGAATTTTTGGCCCCCCAATTCCTGGCTCTCGCTGTTCCTGAAGACTTCCCAACCCTCTCAGGGAGACGGGAGCAGCACGTGGATTGAATTGTAGTGTCTCGGCCTTGAACTTGTGGATTCCCCGTTTGGATTTCATTGTGGTTTCAATCCTGACTTATCTCTGGTATTCTCAAGTGGAGGGTTATCTGTGATCTTGGAACACCCAGCTCCGAGGTCTTCCTAAAGTTAGGCCTAATCCCCCACCGATCGCAGCAATACTTGTGAGGTACTGGAATATTTTATACAGAAAACAACAAAAACAAGGAAGAAACAAAAGGCTCCAGAGGCTTAAATTGGGATGGGGAGAAGGAATTTTGATTCCAAGGCACTTGGAATAGCCAAACTGTGTCCACAAAGGACCCTCAGAGCCGGTGGTTGGATATTAAAGGCTCCTGGAGCCGGCATGTGTCCATGGATTTTGGGAATGATTTCAGTGAGCTCTAGCAGCCTTTGTTTGATGATCTATCTTGCCTTGGCTTCTGAATGGAATGTGGCTGGGATTGGGAGTAGGGAGCCCGACAGCAAACCCAGCTCCTGGGTATGGAGTATCCCCAGGATCACCGGGAGGCACAGGGAGCATCCGCTCCCTCATCCCGGGCGCTGCACAAGGGGCTTTGCTGCCTCTGAATGCCGGGAATTTTGGGGGGAATTGTTCCTGCCTCCTGGATGTTTAGTCAGCAGTGCTTCCCCCGCTTCCCCTGCTGGGCTTCTCCTCTCCTGAAGGGTGGTCTTTCCCTGGCAATATGTTTGGGATCAGCCCTCTTGCCTGCTCTTTGTCTGGGAGCACGTGGGGCGCTGCTGCTCAGCCGCCACTTGGCACTTGGCACAAACCTCCTCTTCCCTCCCTCACTTCCCCATTCAATCCCAAAAAATCCCCCTTGCTGCCCTCTGGAAAAGCGAAGGGGCCGATGCTGCGAGTCGGGCTCTGGGATGGGAGCATTCAGAGCTTCCTGGGAAAAAAAGGAAGGAAGATAAAAAGGGGCTTGGGGTGGGCACAGAGATCCCCACTTGGCTCCTGGCCCTTCTGGCCCAATCCATGCCTCCTTCTCAGGTGGATCATGAGGGAATTTTCTCCTGGGAAAGAGCAGGGAAGCACATCCCCAGCAACTCCTGGAAGCTGCGAGAGCCAGGAGGTGGGAATGTCAGGTGCCTAGGCGGGAGATCAGCTCCCACCTTCACCCAGCCCATGGAATCCCATCAAATCCCAGCTCCAGGAGCAGCGCAGCCAGGATTAGGAAGCTTAATTCCCATCACTGTCACCAGGAAGTTTAATTCCCATCCCATCCATCCCAGCAGGAAAACTGTGAATCCCTTTCTGTGTATTCCAGTGGCAGCAGTGCCTGGTTTATCTATGGAATATATATATAAATACATATGGAATCGGTGTTGGGAAGACTGGATGAGCATCCTCTAAAGCCCCTGGAGAAGCTTTGTGTGTGTTTCTGTGTTATCCATGTATTTACCTGGATTTTCCATCTCTTCCCAGGTAAAACAGAACGAGGTTCCTACTCATCATATGGACGAGATTCCAACTTACAGGGCTGCCACCAGGTGAGTGAGAATCCTTGGGAATTCCATCCCAGCCCCCTAGCCAGGAATTCCTTCTCAGTATTCCATTTAAATCACTGGGAAGCCATTCCCTGTGTCCTGTCCCTCCATCCCTTGTCCCCAGTCCCTCCCCAGCTCTCCTGGAGCCCCTTTAGGCTCTGGAATTTGCTCCAAGGCCTCCCTGGATCCTTCTCTTCTCCAGGGGAGCACCCCCAGTGCTCCCAGCCTGGCTCCACGTCTGAGGGGCTCCAGCCCTGGGAGCAGCTCCGTGCCCAGCTTGAATGGGGCTGGGAGTGCCCATGGAAGGGGTCCCTGCCCGCGGCACGGCTGGCACTGGAGGAGCTTTCCCAGCCCTCACACCCCAAACCATTCCAGGACTCCACACAGCCCTCAGCTGCAGGAGCAGAGCTCGGGAATCCCAGATAGGGATCTCAGAGACTCCCAGCAATCCAGAGCTTGGTTCCTTCCTGAAGTTCCTGGCGGAATTTCACCCTCCATCTGCAGCTTCCCAGCCCTGCCTTGGTGGCTTGGAACTATCAGCTTCCTTGGAAAAATTATCCCTTATTTGTAATCCCTATCAGGAAGGAATTCCAGGCTGTGAGGGTGGGGAGGGAATTCCTGGAGAAGCTGTGGCTGTCCCTGGATCCCTGGGAATGCCCCAGGCCAGGTGGGATCACCGGGGCTGTGGAAGGTGCCCTGCCCTGCTCCCATGTTTCAAACCCTTGGGAAGTGCTGCTTTTCCACAGCTCCTCCCCGTTCCCTGGTTAATATGTGTTCCCAGTTGGAATCAATCACTCTGGGGAGATGGTGCCGTGCTGACCAGTCTTGGACAAGCTTTGCAAAATGATTGATTCCCAGCCCAGCTTTGGAAAACTTGCGAGCAGCTCCATGTGGAGCCGGAGCCAGTCCCGCTCTGCGCTCCTGGCAGCGCCGGGGGCTGGCGGAGCAGCCATTCCCTCCAGGCCCAGAGCCGGGAGCACATATGGAAGTTTCTACTCGTTGTCACGTTTGCTGGGCATGTGGTACCTCCCTGCTATCCTGACGCTGGGACTGATGGGATGGAGCGCGTGCAGAGCGGCACGGACGGCTCCGGAATTACAAACAGCTCTAATAGGCCTTTTCCCGGGAAAAGGACGGTGCTGGGAGCTGGGCTCGTGTCTCTGCGTCGTTCCTGTCTTGGCACTCCAGGAAGCTCATTGGGGATCATCACAGAGATGATCCGGGAGCTGTAGAGCCAGGCTGGGAGACCTGGGAACCTTCACCTGGAGAAGGGAAGGATCCAGGGAGACCTCAGAGCAAATTCCAGGGCCTGAAGGGGCTCCAGGAGGGCTGGAGAGGGACTGGGGACAAGGGATGGAGGGACAGGACACAGGGAATGGGATGTTGAGAAGGAATTCCTGGCTGTGAGAGTGGCGAGGGGCTCGGATGGAATTCCCAGAGAAGCTGTGGCTGTCCCTGGATCCCTGGAATAACCTGGCTGGAATAACCTGGGCTATGGAAGATGTCCCTGCCCGTGGCAGAGGGTGGGCACTGGATGATCCTTAAGGTCCCTCCCACCCAAACCATTCCACAGGGAGGGCTCTTCCCTTTCCCAGGGAGCTGGAAGGGCTGTGGATGTGATTCCATAAAACCCCAAAATCCAGGTTTGGGTCCCATTCAGAGATGGGGAATCCACCACCCCTCTGGGTGACCATTCCCAAATCCATGATGCTGGATCATGTCAGGATGTGGAAGCAGCTTCTCCTCTGAGGATCAGGACAATTTTCTCTACCAATTCCTGTTCCCATGGGAAAAAAAGGGACTCTGTTTATATTCCCAGCTGGTGAACAGGAAGAGGTTAAAAATCCTTGGAAGCTCTCGAAGCTTTTTGGCCCCGTCGTTCCTTTGGTCTCTCAGATGTTTTCCAGCGACTTCGGTTCCAAACGTTATCCCTGTAATTTCCATAAAACACTGGGAGCTCTCCGAGCCTTCCCTGTGTTCTCCCATTCAAAGGGAAAACATGGATTCTCTCATTAAACTTGGGAATTCAGCCACGAAACCCCTTGTTAAGGGGGAGCCAGGGTGGGATGTTCCCCCCGAGCCAACCTGAGCCAGCATTCCGCTTGCAAGGCCTTTGTATCCAACATTTCCACAGGAAAATGGGATGACAAGGGCCTTGTAAGGTGAGCAGGGCCGGGCTTTAAGGATTTGTCGAAATAATTTGCCAAAGAGGAACATTTTGAAGCCAATCCTGGTAGAAAATCCCCCCTTGATCATCTTGAAAGGGAAGCAAGGCAGAATCCAACACGGTGACAAGTTTTTTCCCAGGAAAAATATTCCCAAAATATTCCTTTCTGCACCTCATTGTTCCTCAGCGTCTCATCCATCCCAGAGGGTTTAGGCTTAGAAAAAATGGGATGAGGGCACTTGCAGGTGTTTGGAATTTCAGCCTGGCATGGAAATGGTACATGGAAAACAGGGATACCAGGATCTGTGTCTCTTAGTTTATAATTCATAGGAATATCCTGATAAAAACTGGGGCTTCCTGGGAATTATCCAACCCCTTATGGTGCCTTTTTTCCCCATCCATTAATATCCCAGGATTGTCCATATTTCCATGCCTTCCTCCCTGTATTTCCCGGGATTTTGGGGTGCAAAAGGTATTTTTTTGCTGAATCCAGAGGCTGATGAAGCTCGACCTCTTTGCTCCAAAACACTGGAGCCACTTTTTTTGGGAATTGGTGAGGGAATAGACTGGGAAAGTCACCCAGGTCAGGAGCACGGGGAGAGGAGCAGGGAGCGCCTCTGGTGATCCAGGTGCACGGAGGGACTCCTCCCAGCTGGAAGGTCATGGAACACATTCCATGCTCCCCTTCTTCCTGGGAAAAGCCCTCATTAAACAGGGTGGGAACGGCGGGATCGCCGCATCCCGGCCGACATTCCCGGTGCCGGAGCGGAGGGAACAAAGCAGGGAAGCGGTGCTGGCAGGGAGAGCAGAGGGATCTGAACGGGAATAATGGAGGGAAGGAGCTTTGATCTTTAATAATGTCAGGAATTTTAATTGGAGGGACGGAGCAGCAAGAAAAGAGCGGGATGAGCCCGTTTCCTGGGATAAAGGGCAGGAATTCCTAGGAAATAAGAAATAATTGTAGGATAAATCACTGGGAAGTTCAGTGGCAGAAGGAATTGCTTTAAATGGCTTCATTTGGGCTCAATCTCCTGATAAATTGTTAGAAAAGCGGGAAAGGCATTGGTGTTGCCGGTGGATCCAGGTGTGGGAAGGGAAGCAGGGATTGCTGGGAGCCTCCCGCTCTCTCCAGAGGCACTTCCAGCCTCACGGGGCCACCTCTCCATCAGAAGGTGGATATTCCTGCTCCCACATTCCCGCTCCACCGGGCTGAGTACCTGCAGGTGCAGAGCATCCCGGGATTCCCAACCTGCATCCCTGCTCCTTATCCTGCCCCTGCCCAGTTGGGAGAAACCAGGGATGTGATCTGATGCTTTTCCCTGATCCCACCTGGATGAGGCTCCTCCGAGGCTTTGGGAGAAGGGCCCAGATGTCCCTGGAGCCACATCCCAGAGCTCGGAGGGGCCCGGGAAGCAGCTGGACCCCCGGGATGCTCCGACCCCAGCCCTTGGCAGCCGTTCAGGGAAGGAGCTTCAGCTGTTTTAGGCTCATCCCGTTTTCCTCCCGCCTGGGACGTTCCAGGCTTGATGCCGCATCGATGCCAACAAAAAATATCCCAGGAATTCAAAATGCAGGGATTTTTCCCTGAGCCATGGTTTTGGCTTCCAGGTTCCCTTTAATGTGAATTATTTTCATTAGGAAAATTCTGCACTCGAATCCCACCTGTTTCCACAACAAAGGAAAAATATTCCAGCTTTTTCTAAGGATGATTTCCAGTTTTTTCCCGACCTCTTCAACCCGAGACAAATATTCTGGTGAAATCCACATAATTTTCCTTTAAAAAGCAGCCCCTGAGCTTTGCAGCAGCAGCGGCAGTTGGGTTTTTCCAGGAGGGATAATTTCCTTTCCATCTGGATGGATTTGGTGGATTCTCTCCCTCTCCAGCTTTAACTCTTTGTCTTGTTATTCCCGTTTTGGAGGCAGCAGGAAAAAAATAACAAAACCAGGAAGGTGTAGAAACACCTTAAAAAAACAAGACAAAAGATTGGAATTAATAAGAAATCCAAGGCTGTGGCTCCGTGGGGAAAATCCTGGGAATTTAGGATTTTGCTATGTTGTTTATTTTGATAATTTGGGGAATTGTTTTTGGTTTCAATTCCAATGTCTTTCGATGTCTCTGGACATGAAACCCTTTGAAACCTCCTCCTTTCTCCCGAAATGGTGACTCTGATCCCAATACACTCCCGAGTTTCCAGAGCTGGGACTGGGACCAGGGAGACCCTGCATTCCACGGGGGTGCTTTGGAAAGGTTGGAATTTTCGGAGCAGAGCTTACTGGTCCTTTTATAGGATTTTGGGATAAATATGGATATATTTTCATCCCAGTTTTCCTCCCTGTTTATAGCTGGGAACTCTGAGGCACTGGGAGCTGAATTCCCAGCAATTCCTGGTTCGGGATGACCCCCTCCCGAAATGACCCCCTTAAACTTGCTCGCCTCATTTCCTTGTCCTGTAAAAACCCCCTTTGGGATTTCTTGTCCCGTAGAAACCTCTGCAGCTCTGGGATGAGGAAGGCTGGGCTCTGGAGGGGACGTGGCTTTTTCTGCTCCTTTCTTCCCCCGGCCTTGGAAAATGCTCTTGGTGCGCTTGGAGTTCTCTCGGAGTGCAAGGAGAGAGTAGCTGGATTTAGGGATTCATCCCGAGCCTCCTGGCCTTCCCCACACAGGGATAAACCTGGCCCAGCTTTAGCAGGTCCGGCTTTATGGGGAGGCCGAGGTGCAGGGAGAATTCCTGAGCCCAGCATTCCCTGACCATTCCCAAAATTCCCTTCATTTGCAGGGAATATTCACTATAAACCAGTGCTCACCTGGCCCTTAAAATCCCATTTTTTTGCCAGGAATGTTCACAAGAAATCCTTATTTATTGTGATGTGGCCCAAAGCATTCCCAAAATTCCCTTTTTTCCTGATATCCACAATGAATCAATATTTATTGCGAAATGATCCAAAGCATTCCCTAAATTCCTTTTATTTCCAGAGAACATTCACAATAAATTGAATATTTATTTGGAAACACTCCAAAACATTCCCTAATTTCCCTTATTTCCAGATATTCACAATAAACTAATATTTATTGTGAAAAGGTCAAAAAAAAAAAATTCCTTAAAATTCCTTTATTTCCAGAGAATGTTCTCAATAAACTGATATTCATTTGGAAACACTCCAAAACATTTCCTAAATTGCTTTTATTTTCAGATATTCACAATAAATTAATGTTTACTGTGAAATGATCCAAAATATTCCCTAAATTCCCATATTTTCAGATATTCACAGTAAATTAATGTTTATTGTGAAATGACCCAAAATATTCCCTAAATTCCCATATTTTCTGATATTCACAATAAATCAGTATTTATTGTGATATGCGCCAAAGCATTCCGTAAAATCCCATTTGTTTTCTGAGAATCCTCGCAATAAGCCCACGTTCTTTCGGAAACACTCCGAGACATTCCCAAAAATCCTCTTCTTTTCAAAGAATGTTCCCATTTTTCCTTTTCCCCTGGAGTTCTGGCACCTCTGTCTCTATTATTCCCTATTATTTTGTATTATGTGAGAGATTCCCAAGGTTTTTCTGCTGCTGCAGGTGTTGTTTATCACCGGAGCAGCCTCGTGGCAGGTGGAGATTATCCATGAAATTGGAGAGAGGAGCGAAAACGATGGGACTGGAGATTTTGGGACCTGTCCAGGAGGCAGGTGCGGAAGTGATTTTCCCAATCCCTCGGCTCCTGTTTGTGCGTGGGATGAGAGGACACGGGATGAGGGGACACGGGATGAGGACAAGGCATGAGAGGAAAGGGCCTCAGGCAGTGCCAGGGCACGTCCAGCTCGGGCAGCAGCAGGAATTTTTGCAGGGAAAGGGCTCCGCTCCGCTCGGGCTGCCCGGCCGCTGCTGGGGGTGTGTGGCGGCCGCGGCTCCCCCCTCCCGCCGGGAAGGGGCTGTGGCAGCCCGCGGCCCTCGGGGGGCAGCGGGGCAGCCCCGAGCGCGGCTCCCGGCGCCAACAAGGAGCCCTTTGTTCCCGGCGCCGGCCGCTCGTGGGATCGGGCAGCTCCCGGCGGAGCGCGGCGCGGAGCGGAGCGGAGGCACCCTCGGCATTGGGCTCCTCGGGGCCATTTGCATGTCAATGGCGCTCCGGCTGCTCCCTCCGACGCGCTCGCCGGAATGCCGATGAGGGCGAACGCGGGCCCCGCCGCACGGCCGGGAATTCGGGAAGTGCGGGAAGAGCCGCCGACGGCTTTGGGGGCGTCGGAGGGGCGGCTCTTGGGGGGGGACACGAGGCACCGCTCCCAGCGCGCTGCGCCCAGACCTTGGGTGTGCCGGGCACTTTGGCCCGGGCTGGCATGGGCTGGCATGTGCACGGGCAGTTTATCCCGGGCTTGGATGCACCCGGACAGTTCCGTCGGCCTCGGATCTTCCCGGGAAGTTCCCCCGCGGTCGGATGTGCCCGGGCAGTTTATCCCGGGTTTAGATGTGCGCGGGAAGTTCCCCCGGGGCTGGGATGCACTCGGGCACTTTCCCACGGGCTTGGATGCGCCCGGGAAGTTTTCCCGGAATCTGGAGCGAAGCAAATACTCAGAATCCTCGCCCAAATCCGTATTTTCCAAATCCATTTTGAAATCCCTGGTTTCATGGGGTTTATCCCGTTGTTTCCCGGGAATAAAGTGGGTGGATGGAGTGAGGTCCTCGCTGCTGCCGTGCCAGAGCCTTAATTGGTTTGGGGATTCTGGAGCGCTTTGTATCCAGTCAGTTCCCAAATATTAGTGATATTCCAGCTGTTTCCCTGGTTTGATCGTTCCTCTTGTCCAGCCCACTGGGGGTTTAATATTTTACATATATTTTATATATATAACACATATATTTTACGTATATTTTATACATAATATATACTTTATTTAACATGTATGTTATACATATTTTGTATCTACTGTATATGTGTTTTATATTTATATTACACATATTTAGTATGTTTTTATATGGTATATATTTCATATAGTATATATTTGATATATAATGTATATTTTACATATAAAATACATACTTTATATATCCTACATATATTTTATCTATTTCTATATGCATTCTAGACATATATATTTTACTGTATATTTTTATAAATTGTCATACATTTTCTATATTTAATTTAAATAATATATATAACATATATCTTTTATCTATTGCACATTTAAAATATTTTTATATGTTTTCCATATTTATATTAATTTGTTTATGTTTCCTTTAAATCTTGGATCTTTTCTATGGATTTAGATATATTCTATTTTTAGAGCTATTTTACTTCTATTTTATCTATTCTTATTTATCTACTAGGCATATCTTAGATACATTTTAGATGCATTTTAGCTATATTTTAGATATTTTATGTATGTTTTAGAGATTTTTATATATATTATAAGCCTTGATAGATTTGATTCCCAGGTTTTTCCCAGGACAACGCAGCTGCTTCATCCACACAGAAGCAGCAGAATTCCATGATTTTAATTTTATTATCATTATTGTTAAATCCCTGTACTTCCCTCCCTCCAAAATCCATGCCAGCAGAGCTCCCGAAGTTTTCCAAGCAGTGGCTGAAGAGTCCCTGAAATTCCCCGAAGCCCCGAATTCCTCCCATTTCCCAGGCGTTCGGTGCAGGCGAAATTCCGGTGGTGTCCCCTTTAAAGATCCGCCCGTTCCCACGTCTCGCTCCGCTCCCGAAGCTTTCCTCCCCGGGTTATTTTTAGGGATGAGCAGCTAATGATGAGGGAGGTCGCATGGATGGATCCTGCAAATCCCTGTTTCCTTGAATCCCTTGCAGCAAAGTCTCCTGGGAGGGGACATGGACATTGGCACCCCCGGAGCGCTGTCCCCGTCCAAGCCCGGCTCCCAGTACTACCAGTATCCCAGCAATAATCCGCGCCGGAGGCCTCTCCACAGCTCCTCCATGGGTGAGTGACCCCTGCACCTCTGGCCTGCCGCCGCTTCCCGAGGAATCCCGCTTTACCGAGCGGCACTTGGGAAGGGACACAATAAGTGCTGCCGGAGCGACGCTCCCGGGCGTTATTGCAGCCTCGTCGAGCCTTCAAAATTCCCTATTTTCCCCGAGCCGGAGGCAAAACCTACAGCTTGTAACACCCACATCCCAAGTATTAAGAATTTCCTGCCTTTTCCCCGTGGAATTGTTTATTCCTTATTATTTCTTGTTCTTTATTTCTTGTTCCTTATAATTATTGTTCCTCGCCGCAGCGGGAAAGGGACAAGCCAGTAAAATCCTGGGGTAGAAACCAATGGAATTCCTAAAAAATCCTGCTGGGAACATCTTGGGGGAGAAATCACTGAGGTCCCTAAAAATATTCCTGCTTTATAAAGCATCTTTTCCTCCCCTTTTTTTTCCAGAAGTTCAGACAAAGAAAGTTCGGAAAGTTCCTCCGGGTTTGCCATCCTCAGTAAGTACCGCGCGCTCCGGAGGCTTTGTTTGGGAACAGGGGGATGGAAGGAGCCTGTTCCCGAGGGATGAGGCTCAAGGGAAGGTCAGGAACGCCCGGAGCCTTGGCCCAGAAGGCTTGGAGTCGGGAGTGTGTTCCCCGGGAATGTGGTGCTCTGGGAATGCGGTACCTGCTCCGGGCACGTGCCCTTTGTGAGGCTGATTGATGGATCGACGGCGGGAAGAATTAATGAGGAATTCCCTGGGAATCATCCCCAGGACGCAGGAGAAGTCTCCTGGCGTTCCAGAGGGATGCAGGATGGCAGCCCCGGCATTCCAGAGCTCCGGGAGCTGCTGGGGGGGGCCAGGTGCCAAGCGCTTCCTTCCAGGTGTTCCAGAGGCTCATTAATGCCCCTTATCCTGGTTTTCCCCCCGAATTCTCAGGAATATCCCGGAGCCCCTCGATTTATTGACAATCACTGGCATGTTTTGTAGTGTTTTCCTGGAATTTCCCTATTTTCCAGCCAGAAATCGCCAGGTTTCTCCGCAAAATCCTTTGTTCCACGCTGTGAAAAATTTTTCAATTCATTCCAATTTTTTGGATTCTTTTGTGAAATCTTCATGTAATTTTTCCCCAGAAAGCCATTCCCATGTGCTTTCATTTCAAATCCATGAAAATCCGTGGAAGAACGAAGTTTTGTGAGAAATGACCCGACATTTCAGTCCCAAAATTATGGCTAAAATTGCATTTGATTGAAATTTTGGGATTTTTTCATTCCAATTTTTTTCATTATCTTTAAAATATATTCATATTTATTTGTATCTCATTTGCAAACCAATAGCAAAGAAACCCCCCAGGAGGAAAAAGCATCCCTTTCCTACCTGAGAAATCCCGTTCTTTGGGCTCTGAATCTGATTATTAGTGGCAATTAATCCTTGGGAATATGCAATAAATTAATATTAGAATCAATACAAATGAATCTCCCATGGATTTGAGGATTTTACCTGCAATCCCTGGAAACTGGCAGTTGGCAAATATATTTATATCTACAAAATATATCTAATTATAAAGCTCTAAATTTAAAGTTGCTAAAGTACTTTCATTAGTGATCACTTTATAATCAATAAAATTCAAATTGAAAGTGGGAAATACATGGAAACATCCACATTTATTCCCATGGATTAATCAAATCTTTATAAAATTGATCAAATACAAACATTAGAAGTGGTTAAAATACAATATTATAGAAATATTCGAAAGCGAACCCCAATTAATTGATAATATTCATTATTTTGAATTAAAAATCAAGTCCCAAAAGTGCTTTTGGAATTTACTTCCCTCGATGCTTTTGGGGCCTCGATTTTCTTGGACGCTTGAAATGCTTGGAATTATGTCATGAGGAAACCTGCCATCCAATCTATTCCTGAATATTGGAATCCCTCAAAACTCCGTTTTCTGGGAATAAATGGATCAAAAGGTAGGTCCTGGAAGGGGAATAAAAGTGTGGAATGATGGAAATAGGGGTTTTTCGAAGGGAAAATGGGGAGATTTGGGGCACTTGGGGTTCAGATATCCCGGAATCACTTCTTTAATTTGGGATTTAATTAGGGTGGATACATGGATCGACATCCTTAGTGGATGGGGTGGGAATGTTCTGGGATTTCTCTTAAAATGTGGCTTTTCCCATGGGATTTGTGCCAGGAACACGGAGCAGCGTCGGTGAATAACCCTCAGTTATCGGGGGTTAAATCAGCAGCAGGTGGAAATTCCAGGGATACATGGGAATAAATGTACTGGAGCAGCTCCTCCTTTATTTGGGAAGCAGCGGCGAGTTTGGAAAACAAAATCCAGGAAACAATGGGAACAATCAGTTGGCAAATAAGGACTTGCAGATGAACTTGGGTGTAGACTCTTGGGGGGATTTCAGGGAGCGATCCCAGGCTGGGATGAGCCGGAATCCAGGTGTGGGTTCCCAACACTTGGTCAGAATGTAGCTGTGTCCCTCAAAACCCGCCCGCTTTTCCAGTGCCGTGGGATGTTCTCGGTTGCTGCCGGAATCTGAGGGGCTCTGAGGTGGGAGGGGGGTGGGATTGGCTTCATCAGCATGTTGCCAGGGTTGGATCTTTCCAGGTGGAGCTTCTCCCACCTCGGAGAGGTTTTCCGTGGTCCTTCTCTGTGGACACTTTTCCTTTACAATTCCAAGGCCTCCTGCTCCCAGAGCTCCGTAGGCAGAGGGATGGAAGTGGTGGATCCCACTGTCCAGCATATCCCACATCCTGCTCTGCCCACGGAGAAGGGATCCATGGAGAAGGAGCTACTCCAGCTTACCCCCCCGGGAGTAAATCCTGAGAAAGTGATGGCGCCGTTCTGGTATCCCAGCTTTCCATCCGCTGGATCCTCAGAATTCTGGGAGCAGCACCGAGGGTGATGTTTGGAGAGCTGCTTTCCTGAGATCCCAGGGAGGTGATCTGTGGTTGGAGTGGGTGATCCTGGAGGTCTTCTCCAGTATAAACTCTTCCATGGTTCTGTCCTTGTTACCCCCCGAGGAGCTGGAGTGTCCTGAGAGTCCCCAGTGCCGGGATCCTCAGGTGTGAGAATTCCTCAGGTGTGGAGGCTCCTCACATGGAACCGTCTCCTTGGGAGCGGCCTCTGGGTGAGGGACCTTTCCCTAAAATCCAGCCTGGGTGAGGGATCCCGGGCGGGGTGTCTTTGAGGATCAGTGGGGTGGGTGAGGCCTCCTCGGCACGGAGTGGCCTTCCTGGGCACAGATCCAAGGAAAGGAGGGAAAATGGGAGTGGAAACTTGGAAACACTTCCGTGTCGGTGTTTTAAAACAGATTAAAAGGCACAAACATTCCCATGAAAATGATTTTACAGATTTTAAGGCATTGCACAGGATATCCCCAGCGTGGAAAAATGACTGGAATGGGATGTGGGTGCTCCAATATTTGTATTTTCCTGGGAAATCGACCCATTTGGGGATGTTGAAGTATTTTGCACTCCTAAAAAAATCTCTTAAAAATCCAAGAGTGAATCTTCCCGGTTGGGATTAGTGGAATCTGGCTTAGCTGGGACAGAGACTCCCTCTTCAGCAAACTGTGGGAAGTGCACAAGGATTCAGGAAGGAGTTGCCTCAAAAATTCCAGATTCTTTCAGAATTCCTGCAAAATGAGACTCGGGCTCCAGGGCAGTATTTTTAAGGAAGGTCCTTGAAATTTGGAGCCAGGAATTCTGTTTGTTCTTTGGGATGAGAGTCCAAAAAATACTTCGGATATAAATTAGTATTAATTAAATATAATAAATAAATATTCAAATCCATAGGAATTCCATATCCAGCTTCCAGCACTTCGTTTCTCTGATGAAATAATTTATAATTTGATTTTCCTTTGGGAATTCAGCTGAGTTTCCCGAGCGGAAACCCCAGGACTTAACTGAACATAGAAACACTTCAGTCCTCTCTTGGATCTGGCTCTTCCCACATGGATTTGGGAAAGGAAGGATTCTGGGGGTGGGAATGGCTTCATTTCAGCCCCTTCTTAGATTCCTTGAGGTTTTTCTGCCATTCCAGAAGGGATTGGACATGGGATGGGAGTGGAGAGCAGGATGCTAAGGAGGGAGTTCTCCCTGGAAGGGAGAATTGCATCCAGTATCCCATCCAAAGCAGTGGGAAGCCATTCCCTGTGTCCTGTCCCTCCATCCCTTGTCCCCAGTCCCTCTGCAGCTCTCCTGGAGCCCCTTTAGGCATGGGAAGGGGCTCCGAGGCCTCCCTGGGAGCAGGACCAGGATTAGGATTAGGACCAGGAGCAGGGACTGGGAACCAGGCCAGAAGCAGGAGCAGGAGCAGGAGCCGAAGCAGGCCTGGGATCCGCAGCAGGAGGGACATTCCCCATTCCCGGCCATCCTCTGGGTTCCCCGAGCCCTGCGAGCCCCAGCCCCCGGCACTGTCCGCGTGCCAGCGCAGCCCCGGCTCCCGTGGTGCGCCGCAGCCCCTCGTGCGGCACTCCTGGTTCATTTGGGATTCTGCAGAGGGTGTTTTTTGAGGAAAGGCGCGTTTCCCTCGCTGACCCCGGAGCATCTGTTCCGATTATTTTTTTCCCCGAGCCTCCTTTGGCATTGGGGAAGTGTTAATGTCTCTCGGATCTGTTGAACGCTATTTAGGGATATTTATGATCACCTCTTGCTTTCCAGGGGGAAAGTGTGCCGGGATTTTTCCTTCCCAGGCAGCCGGGGAGAGCTTGGGATGAGGGAACAGCTTGCCGGGAACATGTGCTTCCCGTGACAGTAAAAAGAACAAATCCCATCCAATCGGGGGAATCGGTGCACAAAGCTGGAGCTTTAGGCATGGCCTAACCTGGAATTGCTTCCCAAATTCCACGTAAAACTCGATGTTGGGGATCTGTCAGTGTTTTCCAAGTGGTTTTGCTGCTTCCAGCCTCTGCTTTTGCCTTTTAAATTGGGGAAATCGGAGCGTTGGATCCTCCTTCCTGATCCTAAAAGCAATGAGGAATCGGAAGGAAGGGCTTGGGAAAGTGAATGGATTCAGAGGGAGGAATTGTGAGATCCTGAAATGGTTTGAGTTGGAATTACGGAGTCGTGGAATGGTTTTGGTTGGAATCACAGAGTCCTGGAATGGGTTGGGTTGGAATTGTAGAGTCCTGGAGTAGTTTTGCTTGGAATCACTGTCCTGGAATGGTCTGGATGGGAAGGGATTTTAAGGATCATCTCATTTTGCCATGGACAGGGACATCTTCCGCTATCCCAGGTTGCTCCAACCTGGCCTTGGAAAATTCTAGGGATGGAGTAGCCACAGCTTCTCCAGGCTTGGGAACACTTCCTACCTTTGTGCTGCTTCCAAGACCTTGGAAAATTCAGGAGGATAAGACTGGGGTGGTGCTTTCATGGGATCGTGGAATGGCTTGGATGGGAAGGGACCTTCCGAGGCCATCTGGTTCCAGGATGCCATGGGATGTGCGATCCCAGAGTGGGGTAAAGCTGCTCCTGAGGGTTCATGTGCTAGCCCTG